TAACTTTAATCTCTATATACGTATGTATAAAGTCATTGGACCGTTGAGATGAAAAGATTGACGCAAAATCGCTAGTACTTGCACTGAAATTCCCACTATGTGAAAGTTACTTATTATTAATTCATTCACAGTTGCATATATTTTAATTACGTGCACCTCGAAAGAAAAATTTAGTATCACATTACATTTTTTTGTTTGAAAATATATTGTGCCTATACAGTTCATTAGATATGTGATCATATGATAAACGTTGTACTGTTTCTAGATATGACTTTTCAAATGTTAATCTAAAATCGTAGACGTATTAAGGTTTACTAAAATCAAACGGTCGTATTACGTTAACCGTATATGGAAATCAATATTCCCTCTAATTTAAAATGTAAATTGTTTTGGCTAAAATTGCAAATATTAAAAAAATATTTTTATTTTTAAAAATAACATCTTATATATAATAAAAATAATTTAACCAATGAAAAAATGACTGCAATATACTATTAGTCATACAATAATCAATAAAGTTAAAAAGTATCTAAAATTATCAAAACAACTTATATTTTAAAACATAAAAAATCTCCAAAATAACTTATATTTTGAAACGAAGGGAATATTATATTTACTCTCTACATAAAATAATAATTTTCTCATAAGTCATACTCCTCTGTTTCAAAATATAAGATATTTTAGAGGTTTTCTTGTTTTAAAATATAAGATGTTTTGATAATCTTATGTATTTTTTTAATTTTATTGAATATTGTATAACTATTAATATTTTGTAGTATTTTGTGTAATTGGTCAAATTATTTTTACTATATATATAAATAATATTTTTTAGAAGAAAAATAACTTTTTAAACTCTATATTTTTGATTAAAACATTTTATATTTTGAAACAGAAGGAATAATAGATTCAAAAAATTTCCAAAAAAAATTTAGTTAGTAGTCATGGCTATCTACTTTTTGGTAAAAGTTACTCTCTCCGTTTCAATATATAAGTTGTTTTAGAGTTTTATTTTTGTTTCAAAATGTAAGTTGTTTTGACAATACTAGGTACTTTTAACTTTATTGAATATTGTGTGACCATTAGTATTTTACAGTCTTTCGTGTGATTGGTCAAATTATTTTTATTAGATATATTAAATAATATTTTTTAGTTGAAAAGTAATTTCTTAATATCCGTGGTTTTTGCTAAAACAACTTATATTTTAAAACAGAGGGAGTAATAAATAAAAGGAAAAGAAATTACTTTTTGGTAAGC